CTTATTGTGCATTTCCATTTTGAAACCATACAGTTATCATACAAACTTCATAAAATACTTACCAGTATGCTTGCCTTTGACGACAAGCGAGTCGGCTTGATCCCAAAGATCTTGGTAACTGATCAGATACGTGAATTGCTGATTTTGTTTGTTCATGGCATTGAACACGCTCAGAGGCACCCAGGCACCAGCGTTTTGCGCATGAGCAGCTGCCGTCGAGGCAGCCAAAGTTTGGTTGCCATTGTTACCACGCGTTGCCGCCAGATCACCACTGTAAATGTTCACAAGGTTGTTCAGTTCACTATTTTGTCGATAAATAAAAATATATCCACGATATTAACATATAAAAAAATATGCGATAGTTCTGCTTTTTCCTTCATATTCAAGGATTCCAGGTATGATGTATGGGAAATTAAAGTAAAACAATTTTATTTGAAAAAAATGCTGTTTTACTCTAACAGGTTAAATTTTCCAACAAAAAGGGATCTACAGTTACGATGACATCTCATATGTTGTCTGGTATCACCAATGAATAGATATTGATTGCCTTTAAATTCCAATAGCATAGACATGTTTTACCAATGGTTTTCAAGCGGTTTACCTTATTCAGTGAATCAAGTAAATTATCTAATGCATATTAGTAGATGTCTTATGGGGATTCGGTCTCAAAACTTCCAAAATCCGCCACCAGAGGCGCTGGCATCGCGCGCCATTGACAGGTTGTTGGACGGAATCTGTAATCGAAATTCATGAGTTGGGGATTCCGCCGCTAGATGGCGCTGTCAAACCAAAACGGAATCTGTGTGTCATTGGACACCTGTCATGCGTCATTGGGCATCTCACGCATAGATGGCGTTACACGTCATCTGTCATACGTCATTGGACACCTGTCATTGATGGGTTGGGCATCTCGCGCATAGATGGCGCCGATTTGTTTGGCGCTGTACAAACCAAACGGAATCTATGTGTCATTGGACAGCTGCCATTGATGGGTTGGGCATCTCGCGCATAGATGGCGCCGATGTCGCACCTGTCTGGTGTTGGCGTGGATTACGGGGGGCATTCAGAACGTGTATACAGGGGTGCATCGAAAAATAGCGGATCGATGGACCGACGGTATATCGTTAAATCATATATAGCAAGGCGTGACCTAAATAGCGTGGTGGGCTCCTCTGGTCGGTCGGTCGGTCGGTCGGTCAGAATGTCTCATAACCTGTATACGATGTACTGTTATTATTATACAGGATGATACCGTTCAAAATGAAACTTTATGTAGTAGAATGATGGTGGGGGGTGGGGAGTCGAAGGAACCGACTGTTTTTTTTTGTTTGACAACAGGCTGAATACGAAATAAACATAGCTTTCTGAAAAATGTATTTTTTAATGATATACAGATACAAGTTTAGATAACAGAGTTTTTAGTTGATGTAACAAATCCTCGCTGGGGCATGGTACTCCAAATAGAGTCCAATGAAATGGTCCGGTCGCAACAACTTTTCTTGTAAATTCATTAAATTTATAGTAAGTTGCGTGACGGAAAAAGTAAATATGGCCATCAATCCATCGAAATGCGAGAGAAATATCTTCAGGTAATTCAGGAAATATGTCTCTTATCCGTCCTCTGTTCAACACATCAGTAAAATCGTTAGAAAATTCTATATATGACATATTATTATAAAAGGTATAGGACCGTCCTGCGTTTGATTGAAAAATAGCATTGATTCGAGCCCTATCGGGTATATCAATTGAAAAATTATCAAGAAATTTAATGGTAGGGAATGATGCTGAGAAATAGTTGTTTGGAGACACAATGGTAATCAAGTCACCGTTTGTTGATTGGAAAATATGTTGTAAAGTGTATTGACGTAATTCTGTAGGAACATAATCGACAAGAAGTTCAGGCTGAGATGGGATAATCATTTCGTTTAAGTCTAGTTTCCATATAAACATATCATGTGCAATATATAATCGGTAATTTGAAAACTCTGGAGCAATGGCTAAAAACATAAAATCTGGAATAATATCACACAAATTTTTGAGGATCGGCTGCTTACGAGTTGTAGATCTTATAGTTGTTGTTGTTTTTGGTATTGCTGATGCGGTGGTAGACTTTGGGATTGAATCATATTTGTTTTTTCTTCCATATAGATATTGTACTGCATTTATATCATCAACATCTAGACCACGAATCTCATGCTGATAGAAGGCAAACATAATAGCATTCGGAGAAGCACTATGTGCTATGCCGAGGGCATGTCCAATTTCATGAACCAACACCATAAGAAAACTAGTTTGATTTTTGGGTATATTAGGATTATTTCCAAAATACCAGCGTTCATTTATATCTAAATGGATTTCTCTACAGGTGCCGCTAGAGTCAGGAAAGTATGCATGTCCTAAAACGCCGCCAGCATCATCTAATGTCAATGGACATTCATCATTACCCATACAGTTTGCGCTAAAATAATGAGTCTTGCTAACCATGGTTATAGTAATATCAGGAGGATATAGAGTGGGATTGGTAACCATTGTAAATGTTAAGTTTGAAACATTTTGCCACATCTGAAAAGCCATTTCTGCATCTTTTTGGGCCGCAGGTGTGTTTCGAGGGAAATACCATTTCAGGTCATGTTTCCGAAATGGAAAACTTGCTCTAAATTCAGCATCACTGTATTGACAACGCGGACGATTCATAAATTCAATTGTTGCATTATTCAACAATCCATCCACTGGTAAATTATACTTTTCTTGCAAGTTAGTTAGCAAAGTAGAGAGATCTGTTGTATTATCGATGATATGTTCATATTGAGTTAGGTATACTATAGCGTCTTTTTCGGAGAAATCGTTGCAAAGCACGTATGTGAAAGTTGAAATAAAAAATAATACGTCTACCCACATCAACATCTTGATAGAGAATGATGTCAAAAATCTCAGATAGCAAATATAAATTCGTTTACCCCCCCAATCAAAATCTTGACTGAAAAAAAATTAGGCAGCAAATATACAATAATCATACACGAATTTCTATATTTCTAAAATTCTACTCTCATGTGCAACTTGTAATTGGAATTTCCGCCGGACAAACGATACATTCATGTATTACTAAGAAATTATATAAAAAATACTGCAACCGCAATGAATGTTGTTTTCTCGATAAAAATGGTACTGAGAATATGATGAATATAATATGCATATTTACGATACAATTATCTCATGCACGCGTGTGTCATCTCAACTACGTACTTATATTGAGCGAGCGCATGCAGTTTTCTCGATAAAAATGGTACTGAGAATATGATGCATATAATATGCATATTTACGATACAATTATCTCATGCACGCGTGTGTCATCTCTACTACGTACTTATATTGAGCGAGCGCATGCAATAGTCATCATTGTTTCACACTTAACGCACAACGCTGCAAGCTGCAACAACGACCGCAGTACAATTAGTGCTTCGAGAGAGACGAGAGAGCGAAAATTTTAAAAAAAGTAAGTGCTATTTTATTTAATATTTTTCTTTTTTATGTCTCTAAGTGCAACTGTTTTTTTTTTTTTCGTGTTATGCTTCAAAATAGTTAGACGACTCAATTTTTTTTTATAGATGGATTTATCAAAAATTAATGGTGCGTCTTCGATTGTAGACCGCAAACCTATCAGAAAATTAAAGGACCTACCAGTCGGGACACCATTTGCAATCCAAGCAGCTAAAGTGGTCAAGTCGAAATTTGGGGAAGCCGTGCTACTAGATTTAGGACCGGAAGTGCTATTTCTACCACAGCGGGTGACGGAAACGTACCAGCCGGTCATCGACGAACTTTTTCACGGAAAATACTCGATCATCTTCCAAGGGGAAGTGGACGTAGGGAAAAGCCGACCGCTAGCATCATTCAAAATAGTGGAAAATTAACAAAGCAGAGAACAGGAGGAGGACAGGGTGAGCATTTTTATATATTTTTGAGTAATGTGTTTGCTTGAAAAAAAAAATGTCGTCTTTTCAAATGTCTTCAAATAAGGTTAAAAAGATCATCAAACAAACAGACGGTGTTCTACTATCAATTGTTAGTCTACGGAAAATTTTATTTGATAATTTTACAATCAGAGACGCGGAAGTGTGGCTGAAACGAATAGAAAAACAAATTAGATTATGTAAACGGGTAATTCGTAGTAGAAGGCAAAATAAATTATCTGTAGGGACCTGTAGAAAAGTAGAAACAAATTTGGGGCATTTTAAACATTTTAGAAAGTTGATTTTAACTAGACATATTGGGGCAGGACTTCACTTAACATTGGGTCAGAGGGTTAGATGGGAAAATGTAGAATCGAGCTTTCAAAGTAGAATAAAAACCGGTTCCATAGCTAATTTGCGTCATAAGGACTTGAATCAATTTTTAGCAGATTGTGTAGTTGTTTTTAAAAGGAAAATTGGGAATATTTTGAACACCCATTGTGCGCTCAAAGTAAATACAACATTTTGTGGGGAGTTTATTAGGAAATCGGGGGATAATGAAATTTTGGGAATTAAATATATTAATACTAAAAATCATATTATTGATACATCAACTCAAATAGACGAGTGGTTTAAGATATATGTTAAAGATAAACTTTTAAACGAATTATCGGAATTTGCTGAAAAAGATTCGGGATTTGCGTTAAATAAAATTATTTCCTTAGTTGTTAATATCAGTAAATATCAATTGGAAAACGGTTCATCTTATATTAGACTACCAGAACCGATTATAAGGAAAAATGCTTGTATAAACATTAAAAATATAGATCAAAATTGCTTTTACTGGGCCATTGTAAGCGCTCTTCGGACTCCTAGCAATAAAAGACATGCAGAACTAACCTCCTCATATCCACACTTTACTGACGTTTTACAAACAGAAAATTTAGATAGTCCTATGCTGCTAACAAAAATTTCAAAATTTGAAAAGATGAATAACATTTCAGTCAATGTTTACGCTTTAGAATTGATCGAAACAGAAAAAAATCATTTTACATAGTAGTACCAGCAAGATTAACGGAAAATAAACGGGATACGCATGTTAATTTACTTTTAGCTCAAAATAAATATTATCCGTGTTTAAATGATTATGATGCCCCTCCACCACTAGCGAATGAAGATAATGATTCAATCGATGAAATTAAATATCACTATTGTTGGATTAAAAATCTTTCGCGTCTTATTAGTAGCCAGTTAAATAAACATCGTGAGAAAAAATTTATTTGCGATAGATGTCTGAACTATTTCCATCAGCAAAATAAATTAGTTGAACATGAAAAACTGTGTTCTAAATTTAATAAATATAAAATTAACCTTCCTAAAGAGAGCTGCGTTGAATTTAAAAACTTTACATACCAACAAAATACTCCTTTTGTTGTTTATGCAGATTTTGAATGTCAATTAGAAAATCATAAAGAAAGTAGCGTCGTAAATTTAACTAAAACCATAAAATATCAAAAACACGTTCCGTATAGTGCTGGTTTCTATGTAAAATGCAGCTATGATGATAGCCTTTCTTATTTCGAGAGCTATCGAGGTGCAGATTGTATGGATTGGTTTGCAAATCGTATGGCTGGTGTTGCGCAATTTGTAAACTCAAAAATAAAAACAAGCGTACCTATGATTGAAAAATTAGACACATGTAAGGCAACATCATGTCATATTTGCGGTAAGAGATTTTCAAAAACAAAAAAAGACATAATCGTTAGAGATCACAACCATTTCAGTGGAGAGTTCAGAGGTTACGCACACCAAGCATGCAATCTGAACTTTAGAAAATTGTTTGTTGTGCCGGTTATATTCCATAATTTAAGTGGGTACGATAGTCACTTTATGATTTCGAATTTATGTAAAAAAGGTCGCTTAAGTCTACTTCCCATCAACAAAGATAAATACATCTCCTTTACGCTGCACTCAGATGAAAATAACATTAAATTGCGGTTTATAGACTCTTTTCGATTTATGGGGGCGTCTCTTGATGAATTAGCTGCAATTTTAGCAGAATCAGAAAAGAAAATTTTACAAAGGGAATTTCAAAATTTAGATGAAGATAAATTCAAATTATTAACACAGAAAGGAGTTTTCTGTTACGATTACATTGATTCGTTGAAAAAATTAAATGAAACGACTTTGCCCCCAATTGAAAAATTTTACAATAAATTAAACGATGAAAGTGTAAGTGACGAGAAGTATGCTCATGCGCAATCTGTTTGGCAACAGTTTAACATTAAAACATTAGGAGAGTATTCTGATATATATTTAAAAACAGATATTCTGCTTCTTGCCGACGTTTTTGAGCAATTGCGTAAAAAATGTTTCTCCACCTATGGTCTGGATCCTGCGTGGTACTATACAATGCCCGGATATACGTGGGACTGTATGCTCAAATACACTGGGTGTAAGTTAGAACTACTAAAGGATCTAGATATGGTGATGTTTTACGAAAATGCTATAAGAGGTGGAATTTCGGTGTGTAGCAACCGATTTTCGGAGGCCAACAATAAATATATGCCCGAATATGATCCTGAAAAGCCGTCCAAGTACCTTATGTACCTGGATGTGAATAGCTTATATGGGAATGCTATGCAGCAACCCTTACCCTACGGAGGGTTCAAATGGGTAGATGATGTAACATCGTTTGATGTGATGTCAATACCCGACGACTCTGACGTAGGGTACGTGCTACAAGTCGATCTATCGTACCCACAAGAACTGCACGATAAACACAAAGATTTTCCGTTTGCGGCAGAACGTAGCGTACCACCCAGCGACGGCGGGGTAAAATTGCCGAAATTAATGGCAACACTTACGGATAAAAAAGAGTACACGGTTCACTATAAAAATTTAAAACAAATGCTAGCTAATGGGTTAAAGTTAACGAAAATCCATAAAATTTTACAATTTAAACAAGCAGCCTGGCTGAAACCCTACATCGAGTTGAATACTCGATGTAGAGCTGCAGCCCGGAATGATTTCGAAAAAAATCTTTTTAAATTAATGAATAATGCAGTATTCGGTAAGACCATGGAAAATATACGTAAGCACCGCGTATGTAAAATCGTTAAATCTTGGGGTGGTCGCTATGGGGCAGCAAACTTGATTTCGAGTTTTCGGTTCCACAGTCGCACAATTTTAGAGGAAAATCTGGTGGTTATCGAATTGAACAAGGCTGAAATAACGTTTAACAAACCTCTGTATGTAGGGCAGGCAATTCTAGACCTATCGAAACTAGTCATGTACGATTTTCATTACACCTATATGCTACCAAAAATGGGTGCAGAAAGGTGTAAGCTCATGTACATGGACACAGACAGTTTTATCTACGAATTGCAATGTGAGGATGCATATGAGGAGATCATTAAAGCTGATTCCAGTAAATTTGATACTTCGGATTATCCTGAAAATAACATATATAAAATACTGCGTAAGAACAAAAAGGTG